CACGCGCGCCCCGCTGCCCAGGTAGAGGCGCGCGTGCTCTTCCAGGCCGCATCGAGCCGCCACGTGCAGCGGCGTGTCCTGGCCCGCGCCGCCCGCCAGGTGAACCGAGGCTCCGTGGTCCAGCAGCGCCTGCGCGCACCTGCAGGGAGGCCAGGGCGGTTACTGTGGAGGCGACGACCCCAAATCCACACCCCTGCCACCCCCAGCCCGCCGCTTTCTGGCTGGCCTTCCCGGACCCTGGGACACCCGATGGGCAAGTTTGCACCCTAAGATAGCAAGGGTTACCCTGGAGGAGGGGCAAGAGTTCAGTGTCCCCTGTTAGGTGCCATCTAGCCGATTCTGACTCTGGGCCACGTCATGGGCCCCATGCAGGGGCCACAGAAGCTGCCGCTGAAGAATGAGGTCTGGGATCATGGCCACACTGGAGCAAACAGTCTTGTTAAGCAGAACCAGTGGGCTTTCCTCCCAGTCCAAGCACAGTTAACCTTACGATGAAATCCTAACAGCGTGGTGTGCCTTTGGAGGCTCTGGGTGGTGCAGACCGTTAGGCGCTTGGAACCGGACGGCCGTTTGTGTCCATCAGCGGTGCCTCCAAGGAAAGGCCTGGTGATCTGCTTGGAAGGATCACAGCCATCGACAACCCAGCAGAGCCCAGTTCTATGGTGACACGGGGATCAGGACTGAGGGCAGCTGCTGGTGGGAGCTTCCAAGTGGTGTCAATCGAGTGCTGACCTCAGTCCAGGTCGGCCCCTACGTCCAATGGACGCTTCTCACTTTGAACCTTACTTTTTTTTTGGTTTAAATAGTACCTGTCTTTTCCTGAAGCCCTTCCTTGTCCCAGCCTCCACACCCTCTGTGATTTAATCTTGTGCAGCTCCCACTACTCCTTAAATGCACATGCCACACACTGGTGCTCCCTCACGGTTCTCTGGGCGACCTCATCAGTGCCCCCCTGCCATCTCTGTACCTACTCCTGTGGTAGTTAAGGTTATGTGTCAACTTGGCTGGGCCTGGTTTCGAGTGGCTGGGCAGCTGGATGTAGTTATTCCCCATGGTGAGCTTGGTAATTAACTCCGTGGTGGAATCTACTGGCGCAGCTGAGTAGCTGCCTTAGGGATGTGGGCTGCTTCCAGTACAGAAGAAGCAGCTTTGAGGACGGTCTCCAGCTTTTGGCACGTTAACTCCTGCATGTAGCTGAGTCATTATTCAGCAGCCTGCCGTGATGCCTTGCTGATCTTGGGACTCTTAATGGACTTGAATCAATGGCCTGCCCTGTGGTTTGGTAATATCGGGACTGTGCCTTTTCACTGGTCGACCTTGGGCTTGTCAGCCTCAGCAACCTGCTGCCTGAGTGAAGATAAGCCTCCAGCTTCAGTGGACAGGGAGCAAGAGACAGAGCTGAAGCCCAAGGTCGAAGGGCTTTCCACCCAGCCTCCAGAGCCTGGCACTTTGAACTTGGACTTCTGGCCTCCAAGACTGTAAGAGTCTTAAAGCCTCCCACCTGTGGTATTTCTATTCCAGCTGCACGAAGTAACAAACAGCCCCCCCCATGGTCTCCCCGCCCAGCTGGACTCTCCCTGGGTGCCAGATGCTTGTGCCCATAGCCCCCCCTTGGAAGCGCCACTGCATGTCCACACCTGAACTTGCCCCTTCCACTTAAGCCTGTTCCCTTCCTTGAGTCTGCTTCCTGGTCCCACAGATCAGAAGTCTCTGATCCCTTGCCCGTCTCAGCTGGCCACTCAGCCCTGTTGTCTGCATCCTCTCTGTCTCCCGGAGCTGCTTCCTGCCCCCATCCCACTGCCACTGTCCCTTGTTGAGGCCCAAGTCATTGATTGACTGACCATTTACAACAGTCTCCTAATGTGTCCTCATCTCTAATCTGACAAGCTCCATCCCACCCAGAAAGAGAGATCGGATGAGATGCGCCTGCTAACGCCCAATGCCTGCCATCGTAGATCGGATGAGATGCGCCTGCTAACGCCCAATGCCTGCCATCGTAGATCGGATGAGATGCACCTGCTAACGCCCAATGCCTGCCATCGTAGATCGGATGAGATGCGCCTGCTAACGCCCAATGCCTGCCATCGTAGATCGGATGAGATGCGCTTGCTAACGCCTGCCATCGCTTGCTGGAGAAAGGACACAGCATGGGTGTGATCCAGCCCCTGGGGGCCTCACCTGGTCAGCCCCTGCTGCTGCACCCACTTGCCTGGTTGATGCGCCCACCCTACCTGACCAGGTGTGGTTCCTAGCACACACCCTGCTGTTCTAGGCTCTGCAACTCCGCATGTGGCTGCTTCTCCCAGCCTTGTGGTGGCTGACAGATTCCTGCCTTTCCCTCTTCTTCAGGGAAGCCTTCCCAGGGCCACCAGGCAGGGAGACCACCCCTCCCTGTCCTCATGGACCTTACCACATTTCACACGTCTGTGAGCACCTCTGCCTCCTCCGGATCGCTGGCTGCCCGGCCTCTCTGACTCTCAGTGCTGATGGTGGTGCTGAGCTCACAGATGGCGCTCCCTAAGAGCCCCTGCATTTTGTCAGTTACCATCTTTCAGCTTTTCTTCCTGTTGCTGGGGCTGTTCCTTACCTAACTGAGGCTCAGAGCGAGATCATCACTGGGGGCTGGGGGCTAGAAGTAGCTGCCTGTGAATCCTTTCTGTCTCCACCCCCGGACTCTTGGTACTTTAATTTGCTCTTTGTATTTCTCCAGCCTCCATAGAGCCTCCCGCACCAATGGTATCTTGAGAAGTGGTCTGTCTTGGGTGAAAGATCTTTACAAACAATGTGGTTTGATGCGAAAAGTCCTCTGGGACAATCACCAGCCACTAGAGGATGCAAATTTCACAAGGAGGTGTTTCAGCTGCATTTCCTGCTCCTCTCGGGAGGAATTTTGAGCAGTGCCGCGGGAGGTTAGATATCAAGGGTTCTGTCTCATTTTGCCACCAGCCTGTGCACTTGCAAACAATTACACATTTCCTTCTCTCTCTCTCTCTCAAGCAGCACCAGGCAGTAAAGCCCATCCTCTCAGCCACTTCCACAGATAACTTGCTAACGGCCAGGTCACTATTTGCAACACCGATGTCAGGACTCCCCCCCCACCGCCCCAGCTGGAGGTGACCTTTTCATTTCTAAGGAAGAGGCTGTAATTTGTTAAACACTGGCATTTCCGAGGGCCCATAATGGTTCTGCTTAGAGAACCATAGGGATGAGGACAACACGTTACAACACATAGGCTGGGACACTTCTCGGCTGGGACACTTCTCAGCCGGCACCTGGGCAGCCCTGCTAATGACTGTGTGGGGCCCCCGATGACATAGAAGAGCACCGTGGTGCTTCCACCAGAAACTAGGCGACCCGACAGCACTGTCCTGTCTCAATTCTAACAGCAAGTCTCCGTGTCTCTCACTCTGGGTGGTGGTTGGGTGCCACTGAGTGGGACCCCGGCTCCTGGCAAGCCTTTGCACCATGGCATGGAACGCTGCCCGGTCCCCGCCACCCCCACAAGCCGCTGTGGACCAGACCGTTGTGACCCACAGGGCCTCAGCGGCTGATTGCTGAAAGTAGGTCCCCAGGCCTCTATTCCTAGTCCGTTTGTCTGGAAGCTCCGCTGACACCTGTCCAGCCTGACAGCAGCACCCGAGCCTCCAGTGTGGGACGGAGGTGTGCTGGCTGGAATCGCACTCAAGTCCCCCGCCTGGGAGGTACGACTTCTGCCCCTGAACCACCAACGTCCCCCTGAAAGCTCTGGCTCAGGGTGTCTCCGCCTCCTGGAAATATCTGCCCCAGTGTGCGTTTTCAGGGTGATGGCGTGATGGTACCTTTTGTTTCCTTTCTAAACTTTTGGAAAAAAATTAAAAATTGGAGTGGTGATTTTAGAACAGAGGTGATCAGTAACAAGAGTACCACCCTGCCCGACGCCACCGCGGTGACAGCTCAGGGAATCTAAGATGCCAAGTTCCCCCTAGACTCCCACACTTCCCGCTCAGGTGTCCAGGGGTAAGCGGTGATCCTGGAGGCTGTACATCAGTGCCACAAAAGGATGAGTCTAGAGGGGTCTGCAGGGAGCTCTGGTGGTGTAGTGGTTAAGGCATCTGGCTGCTAACCAAATAGGCCAGTGGTTCGAACCCACCAGCCCCTCTGCAGGAGGAAGATGAGGCGGACTGCGTCTGTAAAGATGGACAGCCTCGGAAGCCCAATGGGGTCACTATGGGTGGGAACTGACGTGATGGCAGGGAGTGTGCAAGAGGCATCTAGGGCTGTGTGTGAAGCACGCAGTGATGAACAGCAAGGAGACAGCTGTGGGAGGCTCCTAGCCCTGCCCCTGGGCCAGGCCCAGCCTTGGGACACATTCGGTCCCTTGTGTGTCAGTGTTGTCCCCTCCGTCGCCCGTCAGGCCGTACTGCTCCACGGGGCCTAGGTGGGCCAGCAGGGGCGCCTGGCGTTGGCTGCGCCCTTTCCCCGGGGTAGACTTTTGGGGCAGTTTTCCTGCTGTGCCAATAGACAGGCAGATGCCAGCAGGACCTGGCGTCCCTGTCAGCAGTCACTGCCAGGAGGCAGGGTAGAAGTCCCATCCCAGGATGTCAGAAGGACTTTGGCTCGATCTTACGAGGATTAAGGGGACACCATGTTGTCTGCACAGCCTCTGACGTGAAGCAGTGTGGACAAGCACACCCTCTGACCCCACATCTCCACAGTGACAGCTGTTACGAGACCCCCAGACTGACAGCTCACAGGCAGGCGAAACAGGGAGGAGCCCCCCAGGGCAGCTGACTTCATTTCAACTCATCTCTCAGGGTGGACACTGAAACCCTGGTCCCCGCACACAGCTCTCCTGAGTCCCCTCCCGGGTGCAGAAGGTGCCAGTCCTCAGCCTGGGCTTGCCACTGCTCGCCTTCCCGCACCCACCTGCCTCCGCCCCAACAAACTCGCCCGCTGTGCCTCGGTGCAGCCCACAATCCCCCGAGACCTATCAAGCCCCTCTCCCGGCCAGCCTTCCAGGTGCAGAGCCCTCAGCCCAGTGCGGCCTGGCCTCCTGGCTCTGAGCTGGGAGCCCCAGGACCTGTGGCTGTTGATACTACACAGCTTATACGACGTTACCTCTCTGTGTTGTAGGGCTGCTTCACTGGTGGGGAACCGGGC